TGGTTGTGTGTTGGTGTCTGTGTGGTTGTGTGTGTGTGTTAGTGTGCTTGCCTGTACATATGTATGTGGAGGCCAGGCCACAGATTGACATGGGATATCTTCCTTCTCGATCAGCTACTAGCTAATGGCCCTCCCAGGATCCACTTTTCTCCACCCTCCCCCACCCAACCCGCTGGTGCCTGGGTTTGCCACTACATCCAGCTTTTTACAAGGGTGCTGGGGATCTGAGTTCAAGTCTTCATGCTTTTACAGCAGACACTTTACCCACTCAGCCACCTCCTCAGCCCACACCTTATGTTTTGAAACTGGGTCACTCATTTGTGGAAGCTCACTGAATAGGCTAGGCTGGTCTGCTAGTGAGCCCTAGGGATTATCCTGTCTGCCTTCCCACTGCTGATACCATCAGCATGCGCCTGACTCAGGCTTTTTACAGTGGTACTGGGGATTCAATTCATTGTCTCATGCCCTTGCAGCAAACACTTTACTAAATGAGCTATTTCCACGCTCCTGTGGTATTTTTTCTTGTTTTTTTTTTAATACTATTTTTAGATAGGGTCTCACTATGTAGTACACACACACACACACACAGACACACACACACACACACAGACACACACACACACACACACACACACACACACACACACACACACGCGCCCCCCCGCCCCCCCCGCGCCGCGCGGCGCGCCCCCGCCTCCATTATACATTTTGGGATTGATCATTATAAGAGAGTTTGACCCTGGAGAAACTGATCATTTCTCTCAACAGGCCATGATTACCTGTAGCTCTTCATCTACGAGTTGGACCTTGTGAAATCCCTGCCGCATGTCACTGGTGTTGCCATTAATGGAGGTCTTTGGTTAGGCAACCATAACTGTGGAGATTCCACATTGGTTCAACTTCTCTGTCCTGTCTGGAAGCTGCTAGCAGCAGGTGCCCTGGTCCTCTCTGCCTTTTTTGTTTGTTTCTCTGTGGCTTTGGAGGCTGTAATGGAACTAACTAGCTCTTGTTGACCAGGCTGGTCTCGAACTCACAGAGATCCGCCTGCCTCTGCCTCCCGAGTGCTGGGATTAAAGGTGTGTGCCACCAACACCCGGCTCTCTCTGCATTTTAAAAATTTTTCCACCCCCTGTTCTGTGATGTTCCCTGAGCCTTAGGTTTATCAGTTGCATTGGCGATGTAGTAACTGGGCTTGGGCTCCCCATGATTGTCACTTATTCTCTGTATTTTGAGCAGATACAGGTTTTTAAAAACTATAGTTTTAGGCCGGTTTCTCAGTGCCTACCCTGGTGATTACAATTAATGTCTTACTTTAAAATAATTTAGTCTAATTTGTATCCTAACTTCCGGAGTATAATAAAATTTGTATTACTTTATAGCTCCCCTAGAGGTTATATGTGCCCTCTTCATAATGCTGGTCTCAAAATAGTAAGACTTGTAACTTGGGATCCAAGAGAGTTTCTAGTGAACAAGTGGGTAAAGCTGTAATGTCTCATGGCCTCATCTCAGAACATGATGTCACATCAGCCACATTCCTTTTGTAGCAATCTCAAACGTGCCTAAATTCAAAGGCAAGGGACATAAACCGTATGTGTTTGCTTTATAACTGTCACAACAGTTTAAGAAATCGAGCCTTGCAGCCTTTGCCAAGGTCATTTGTTTGGCAAACATAGGAGTTCTCAGTGCTAATCACACCATTTCTTTGTTTGAAAACTGAAGGAATTGGGGTAAGAAGTACAGACTTCCTTTCCTTTGCCCCTTGCACACACGCGCGCGTGTGTGTGTGTGTGTGTGTGTGTGTGTGTGTGTGTGTGTGTGTGTGTGTGTGTGTGTGTAGCACTATGTAAATAGCATTTTAAGACAAGAGACTCCAACTTTCCCAGGAGGATGAGTTGTGTCTAGAGATAGTGCAAATCAAGATGAAAGGCCTTGATTTCTTCTACTTCTACAATTACATAGGGAGAGAATCTAATGGGGAAATATATATATATACACTGTAGTTTTTTGTTTGTTTTTGAGACAGGGTTTCTCTGTGTAGCCCTGGCTGTCCTGGAACTCTATGGACCAGGCTGGCCTCAAACTCACAGAGATTCACAGGCCTCTGCCTCCCAAATGAAGGGATTAAAGGTGTGCACCACCAATGCGCTGGCTATAGAATATATTTTAAAAATAAGTGAAAATAGCTTTCTCCTAGGGCCAACAGGTATGTTTTGATTATAAACAAGAGCTTCAAATTTTGAAGCACTCTCTAGTACTTCATACATTCTTATTACTATGTTAGG